TTTTTTTTTTTTTTTTTTTTTTTTTTTTTTGTCTTTTTCCGTGTCCAGCAACGGATCGCAACCCTCAGTGCTGCCCCCATACCGGACCAGGGACCGGCAACGGGATTGCAACCCTCGGTGTTGCTCCCGTGCCTCGCTCAGCCAGTGAGCGGGAACCGGTCCATATGTGGGATCCGAACCCTCGGGCGGGAGCGCCGCCGCGCTTCCCAAGCAGCGCACTCTCCAATGCGCCACCGGGCCGGCCCCTCCCTTAAGGATTTCTTAGAGAGCTGGTCATATAGTGAACTCCTGCAGTTTTTGTTTGTCTGGGAAATGCATTTCTGAAGGATAGCCTTTCTGGGTATAGTATTCTTGGCTAGCAGTTTTTTTATTTTAGTGCTTTGAAAATATCATCCCATTCTCTCCTGGTGTGTAAGGTTTCTGTCGAGAAGTCTGCTGTTAGTCTGGTGTGGATTCCCTTATAGGTGATTGACACTTTTCTCCTGCTGTGTTTAGGATTCTCTCTTTGTCTTTGACTTTTGGCAGTTTGACTACAGTGTGTTTCAGTGAGGACCTTTTTGGATTGTATTTGTTTGGGAATCTTTGAGTCTGTTGGATCTGGAAGTCTCTATCCCTACCAATACCTGGGAAGTTTTCTGCTCTTATTTTATTGAATATGTTTTCAATGCCTTTTCCTTTCTCCTCCCCTTACAGCACACACATGATTCAGTTGTTTGTGCACTTAAGGTAGTGTGCTAGATCTCTTAGATTTTCTCCTCTTTTTTTCATTCTTTGTTTTTTATTTGTTTGTTTATGTAGGTTATTTCAAAAGGACTGTCTTCAAGACCAGAAATTCTTTCTTCCACTTGCTCTAGCCTGCTGCTTACACTCTCAATTGTAGTTTTTATTTAATTGAACGGTTCTTTCAGTTCGAGTAGTTCTGCTTCATTCTTTTTGATGGTATTTATCTCCTTATAAATTTCCTCTTTCATGTCCTGGATTGATTTTCTCATGTCTTTTTGTTGTCTTACTGAGTTCTTGTATATCACTGAGTTTCTTCAAGATTGTTACTCACAGTTCCCATTCAGACATATTAAGGGTTTCTGGTTGTATGGGATTTGGTATTTGAGAGTTATAGTGTTCCTTTGGTGGTGTCATTGTTTTTATTTTTCATATTTTTACTGTCCCTACATTGATGCCTAGTCATCTGTTGGTTGCATCTGTTACTCTGGAGTGGCTTTTGAGGAGAAAGACTCCCTCATGTAGATTTGTTATATATTACCTGTTGGGTAATTTTAGTTTTAGTTCAGGGTAGACTCAGTTTCAGTAGTTCCAGGTAGGTTGACTTGTTCCAGGTAGACTCAGTATTTTGGGGGGACACTGGCAGCTACATCTGTGTCTGGGGCTGCACGCACAGCTGGGCCCACACAGGTGGGTGGGGGCCGTGTGGGCATCTGGGGTAGCGGGGGCCATGCAGGTGGCTGGATGGCTGGTCCCTTGTATGCAGTTAGGGCCATGTGGGTGTCTGTAGCAGCTAGTACTGGTGGGCAACTGGATGTCTAGGACTGCGTGGGTGGCTTGATGGTTGTGCCCATGTAGGTGGGTGGGGCTGCAAAGATGGCCAGGTAGTTGGAGTCACGTGGGTGACCAGGGCCACGCAGGCAACTGGATGGATAGAGCCACACAGGTGCCTGGCACCATCCAGACAACTTGGGCTGCGTGGTTGGGTGCACTGTGCAGGATGAACTCTTAGCTGTCCTTTCCTTGCTCTAGTCCCTTTCTGTGAGAGGATCACACATTGGGCACCTCTAGTCTGCCATCTTGCTCCTCCTCTGGTTCCGGTGTTGACCTGGGCTTGTCTCTGCTCAGCCTGGAGTCTCAGAACACTAGAAGAAATATCTCTATAATCCCCAATCCTAGCAGCATTCCACAAGACCTTTCAATTCATACTTTGTTCCTTTTTATTGCTGATTAGTATTTATTATATTAATATACCACATATTGTTTATCTTTTCATCAGTTGGATGTTTAGATTGTTTCCTACTTTTGGCTCTTATGAAAAATGCTGCTATGAACATTTCTTTGCAAGTCTATATATATACATATAACTTTATTGGTTTGCTCTATTTTTTTTTTAAGAAACTTTTAATAAAACTCAGTAATATATTATAAGAAAAAGTGAAAGACAAAGTTGTGTATTTACACACAAAACAAATCCAGGCTATTGTCAGTACTGGTTACTCTTGGTGGAGAGGTAATGGCTGGATGGGAGCCAAAGGGGATCTTGTGGGGTATTCATGTTTGTTTGTTTGTTTGTTTAATCTAGTTCTGTTACAGGGTGTATCTGTGAAAATTTATTGAGCTGTATGCTTATGTGCCCTTTTATGTATGTATTTTGTACTTCAGTAAAAGATTAGAAATGAAGGGCCGGCCTGTGGCTCACTCGGGAGAGTGCGGTGCTGATAACACCAAGGCCCCGGGTTCAGATCCCACATAGGGATGGCCGGTTCGCTCACTGGCTGAGCGTGGTGCTGACAACACCAAGTCAAGGGTTAAGATCCCCTTACCGGTCATCTTTAAAAAAAAAAAAAAAAAAAAGATTAGAAATGAAACAAAAAATGTTATGATTGTAGGTTTATAATATGTATATCCATGTAGACCAAGACACACATGAAAATGTTAAGTGTTATTTGACAATATTTGTTTACAGTTTTCTTTAATGGTGTTCTTGTAGTCAGATAAGGAATAAAAATATTTAAAAACTTTTTGGGGGGGCCGAGCCCATGGCGCACTCGGGAGAGTGCAGTGCTGGGAGCGCAGCAGCGCTCCCGCCGCGGGTTCGGATCCTATATAGGGATGACCGGTGCACTCAAAGCGCTCACTGGCTGAGCGCGGTGCAGCCGGTCTCAAAAAGGACAAAAAAAAATTTTTTTTTGTTGGTTAGAGGAAAATTTATACTTGTAAACACCTGTATTAAAACTAAGAAAATTCTCAAATTAGTAATGTAAACTCCTACTTTTAAGAAAATAGAAAAAGAGGAGCAAACTAAACCAAAAGCAAGTATAAGTAGGAAATAACAAAGATTATAACAGAAATATGTGAAATAGGAAATTAAAAAACAATAGAGAAAATCAACAAAACCAAAAATGGATTCTTTAAAAGGATCAACAAAATTTGCAAACCTTTATCTAGACTGACCAAGGAAAAAGGAGAGAAGACTGAAATTACTAAAATCAGAAATAAAGCAGGGGTATGGTAGAGCAGTTGCTTCATCTATTACTCTGGATTGGGCTTTGAGGAGAGAGACGTCCTCTTCTTTTTCTGGTCTCCACTGGTCATTCTCCTGTGTCACTGCAGTCGAGCATCTGGCAGGTCACCTGCACAATGTGTGTTGCTACTGCTGTGTTATTGAACCACTTGTGCAGCAGCCATGGCTGTGGTGATGGCTGTGGTGGGATGGCTGTGGATGCCAGAAGTACTGTTTTTGGCATCCTTCCTGCCTGCTTCCAGGCAGGGGGTGTTGCCCTTGGCTCCTGCCTAAGACCACGTGCATGCTCTGTTTCTTACTTGCTTCTAGGTGGAGGGGGCTATCCTTGGCTCCTGCCTAAGACCATGTGCATGCTCTGTTTCTTACCTGCTTCTGGGTGGAGGGGGCTGTCCTTGGCTCCTACCCAGGATCCCATGCATCTTTGCAAGTCTTTGTATGAGTATGTTTTCATTTCTTTTCGGTTGATGGGTCATATGGTAAATTTATGTTTAATTTTTTAGGAAACTGCCAAAATGATCGCCAAAGTGACTGACCCATTTTACATTGTAAACGTTCTTCTTTGGAGTTCTCATTTCTTCACATCCTCACCAACATTAGTTATTGCCTGTCTTTTTGATTACAACCATCCTGGTGGGTATGAAATAGTATCTAATTGCGGTTTAGATTTGCATTTTCCTAATGATGTTGAGTATCTTTTAATGAGTTCATTAGCCATTTACATATCTACTTTGGAAAAATGTTTATTCAGATTTTTGTTATTTTTGATTGGGTTGTCTGTCTTCTTGTTATGGATTAGATTTTGAAGATAAATTGAAGTCTGCTCCGCAGAAATTGAGAAGCAACATGCCAGAAAGTGAAAACAACAATTGAAAATAATAAACATAATAGGTGACATTCACTGAACATTTATTTCATGCTAGCCATTTTTCTAATTGTATTACCTATATTAACTCATTTAATACTGACAACCCTGTATTGTAGGTGCTATTCTTAAATACTCTTTTTACAGTTTAGGAAATTAAGGTTAAGAAATTTGCTCAAGGTCAGTCAACTAGTTAGTGTTGGAGCCAGAAATGTTTGAAAGTGTGTGACAGGTACGTGAAATGGCAAGTAGTCTTGGGGTGATGAGAGAGAAGCTGAACAATACCATAAATGTGGGTTGCAACCAGATTTTATGTTTAAGTTTTATATATGGTAGTAGGTGGAGAACTATGAAATGTATTCAGGTAGGACCAATAATGTGATGAGATCCATTGCAGAGGCAGGACAGTATTGTTCCTAAATTTTATTTTGAATTTTATAAATTGAATTAGGAATTTTGAATTGCTTATAGGTTTAACACATTCTTTTTTATTTATTCAGTAGATACTTATTACGCATACTTTGAATATGCCCTTATATAGAAAAGAGTGTTCAACACATATTTGGTCTAAATTTAAGTAAGGTATATTTAGGAAAGTCATAGGACTTTTAAAGTTACTACTGTGATAAAATGTAACCCATTTTCTCCTGAAGGTTTTTTAATACCGTCTTAAAAATTTTTCTTTAAAAACCTTTTTACTATAACCCATTTCAAATTGTAACATTTTCACTATATAAATCCAAAACGTCCAGTCGAAAATGTATAGTCACAGTGTTACCACAGGAATTCAATTAAGGCTTGGAATTATTACACCCTCTTGGGTTTTTGGAGGGGGGGGTTGTTTTGGGGGTTTTTGCTTATCTTTTATTTCCTGCTGATAAATCCAAATTTGTTTTCATTTTATCTTAATATATGATTATTTTGACTCATGTTTTAGAATGATATACCAAAAGGAACTGGCCCAAATAATTTTAAGAAACCACAATTATGTCTCTTCCCTACAGCTATAGAATGGGGAATTTTAGTATTAACCGTAAGATGATTACATTGACAGTGACCAATGGCAAGTTTTGTCTGATATGGTAACTTAGTGGCTGTCTCATGGTTAATATTGAAAGGTTTCCTTGTCTATATTTTCACATAGGGTTATTAATTGCTAAAGTGTCCTTTCTTTATATCTTCAAATACCATTTCTCAGATCATACCAGAAAGTCAAAATCCTTCTAGAAAGAGCAAAGTACACCTTTATTTATTTGCTAAAATGAGTTTTTTTACATTTTATTTATTTATTTATTTATGTTTAATGTTTACTGAGTGCAATGTACTCTGGTATTTTAATCTATTTTGTTCTATCTTATATCATTTTTTTTCATTAAATTTTTATTTTGTCAATATACAATGTATATGATTATTATGGCCCA